GGAAGTATGAAGGTACTTCATTGCGGCACAAGGCTTTCCATCTCTGCTAAACAAGCATTAAAAAGCGCATTTGTTCTGATGTCTGGGCAAAACTTCCCCACTTCTAGCTGCACTTTGCAAAGCTTTTTAAATACCATCTATTTTGTTGTAACTGTGGTTTTGGTTTTTGCAGGATTTCAGCGTTATGTTTGGTCATTGTCCTGAGATCACTGTCTATACTGGCTGCTGTTACTTCCCGAGCGCAGGGCAGCTTCCCGGCCTATGGGCAGACCACAGGAAATCTCTCCTTAGCATGCTCGTGGAGGTGAGCCGTGGTCCGTGGGAGGGAATTCTGGCAAGGAGTGAAGGTAGTGGGCGGGGTGGGGAGGAGGGGGGGGGGAAGAGAGCAGTATGGAGAGTCTTTGTGGTTTTATTGGGGCTATGTAATTACAGACGGTCAAAATTTAGACTGCATGAGGAATGGATTGAACAGAGGCATCAAGTGATCAGGAAATGTGTTGACATGAGAGTTAAACATCTGTGCTGTTTTGCCTCGTGGTGGGCTGAGCAGACCTTGCAGTACTGTGCACTTTTATTGATTATAAGGGTCAGGGATGGAGAATGGGCTGTCTTTTGAGGGGAGGATTAGATCCTATTTCAGTTACAAATGTGCCATACGCTTGGATCTGAACGTGAAGTGTTTGAAATGCTTTATTTCAGGTTCATAAGGGAGTCCATGGGTTTGTCCAAGACAAGAGTGGCAAGGCAATTTCTAAAGCTACCATTGTTCTTAACGAGGGTTTGAGGGTCTATACTAAAGAAGGTGGCTATTTCCATGTGCTGTTGGCTCCAGGTTTGCATAACATCAATGCGATAGCCGACGGGTACCAGCAGAAACACATCAAGGTATGTGAGCGTCTGTATTGGAGATCTTCCCCCCTGCTCCCTGTCGTACAAAGGCATCCCCTCTTTGGGCTCCGCCTGGTTGGCTGTGTTTAGCTGCTGATTATGTGCTCTGGGTAGCTGTTTTCTGCCTTGATATAATGGATGGAGAAGAAGTTCCCAGCACAGCAGGGCTGTTTTGGGCAGTAGCTTTTCTTTCCATTGCCCTTGTCTTGGGCATCTGCCTGGTCCTGCCCTGGTCAGCCGGTACCTCTCTTGTGTGGACACCTAACAGAGGTGCAAGCTTTGAGACAGTCTGAGCTCTCGTGTCTTTCTGCAGGTCTTTGTACGTCACGATGCACCCAGCTCTGTGTTCATTGTATTTGATGCGGAAAACAGGATATTTGGTCTGCCAAGGGAGCTGGTTGTAACTGTTGCAGGTAAAGTGACACTTTTGATCAAAGCTTTGAGCTTTGTTTTCCGTACCGGTTCATGCTGACAATGACACTTCTTTTCACTGAACTGGAAAAGTAGCCTGTGGACTTAAGCCGTCTCCTGCTTTCTCTTCTGAACGTGTGCTTGTCCTTGCAAACTGGTCCAACAACCCTTGGATCTGGTGATGCTGGGCTGGCAGATGGGAGGGAGGGAGTAAGTAGAGAGTCTTGCAGGGGTCTGAAGGGTCCAGAATGGAATTTGGGATGCCTGCAATGGGGAGAGCCTGTTAGTGCATAGAGCTGGGACCTAGGAGATCTTGCTTCTTCCCCAAGGTTGCTTTTGAGTGGTGTGGCACCAGGTGAGCATTAGGAAATATTTTTTTTGTCAAGGTGGCAGCTGCTGGGAAGGCTGGAGTTTATACCCAGTGGTCTGCAGAGGAGCTCAGTGATGCTATCCTAGATTGTGAGCACAGAAAATAAAGCTAGTGCAGTGCTGCTCTGGGAGCAGCGCTCTTTCATAGCGTGTTTTCTGTGGCCTAGGAGGAAGGAGCAGGGTCACAGTGAAGCGAGGAAAGTGGTTGTGACTGTGGAAGGGAAAAGAGATGGTGGCAAGCCTATGAGTCTCTGGGGTGAGGGAACATGGCACTAACTTTAATGTTGTCTTTCTGGTAGGTGCAAGTATGTCTGCTCTGGTCCTCACCGCCTGTATCATCTGGTGTGTCTGCTCAATTAAGTCCAACAGACACAAGGATGGCTTCCACCGCCTCCGGCAGCACCACGATGATTATGAGGATGAAATCCGCATGATGTCCACCGGCTCAAAGAAGTCCCTCCTGAGCCATGAATTCCAGGATGAAACAGACACTGAAGAAGAAACACTGTACTCCAGCAAACACTGACACCTCCCGGGCAGGAAAGGAGGTTCCCATGGACCAGACCCGGTGGCGGGGGGCAGTCCCTGTGGTTCAGTTTTGAAACATTAGCGTGCAGGATGTGTCCTCCAGAGGTGTGGGTGGCAGCTCCCAACTTCCCTCTGCTATTTGCTCTGTTCCTCTGTACGTGCAAATCAGTGGGTGTTGGAGGCTGTGTTTGGGCCTAGGACATGGCTTGTTTCATCTTTGGGTCAAGATCTGGAGGTTCACATGACGTTGTTTGAAAGGCAACTTAACAGGGTGGCCAGCAGAGTTCCTAGCACTTCCCCAGCATCTCAACACAGTGAGCAGATGGTGGGGAAGTGCCCTAAGACCTGCATGGAGTTGTAGGTACAACACTCCAAAGCAGTTTCTCTACCTGTTTTGATTTCATGTTTTCCACTCTGTACTCGGGGGAAGCCAGATCCTTCACTTGACTCCACGTTCTGCAGAGTAGCCCTTGGAAAAAGACTGTACTTGGTTCTCGGCTCCTCCCTCGGAGCTTGTCCCCACCACGAGATGCTGTGGCCTGCTGTGATCTGCAGTGGTTGTGGAGCACCTCTAATGTGTCGCTAGTTCCAAGCAGTGACTTGCCATTCTGAAAGCTGGAGGAGATGACGTCCATTCTTGATGTGAGCTGGAGAAGGGAGCAAATGTCAGAGCTTCAGTGAACTCTGACAAAGTTCAGTTGCTTGCCAGCTCTGCAGTACTGCTGTTCCTGACTTCTGGGGAAGAAAGAAACTTTATCCCCATCACCACCGGTTGCTTCTCATTTGTGTAGTAGACTTGGCCTTTGGGGTCTTGTGTTAGCGTTACAACAGCACAGTGTCCAAAAGAGCAACTGAAGGTTGTTCTAAGCAAATGCATAAGCTGATTGTGGTGGGTACTGTAGAAAAGCAATCGGTTCCTGACTCCACCTGATCAGATTTGCTCAAGTCCACCACTATTCAGGAGGAAACAATGAAATCTGACCACTGCTTTGTATTTGAGCATTATTGGAGCAGCAGGGAGAGGCTGTGGGAGATCCATGGCCCAAATTCAGTCTTAAATTTTGAGGAAAAGCTGCACCATTTGCCATTGTCCACCTAGTACCATAGAGCACTTTGGAAACACCCTCTCATCAAGCTCTGGTGATGGTGGGCATCAAATCAGCCTGCTGGCTTGGCTCTGTTCTACCACAGCATCCCTGAAGTGTAGCAAGAGCTCCACCTGCTTGTGTGTCTGCAGTTGTGTCTGCTGCTGCGGGGGCCTGGGTGCAAGGTGTGAGGAAGGGCTGAATGGCTGTGCTGAAAGAGAAGGGAAAAGCAGCCAAATTCTGGTTTTGTAGCACTTGGCAGGAAGAGGAGCCGCAGCCTGCATCCCCAGGACACATTACGTTTGTGGGGAATAGAAGGGGGGGTCCAGAAGGAAAGAATGGCTGAAATGTTTGATTTCCAAAGCCTTTATGCATCTCTGATGTTCCTGTGCTTTCTGGGCAGAGGGCTGGGGTTAGAATAGGCACTTATTTTCTGCTGCTCACTTTCTTTTTTTAATTCTTGCCCCACTGACCCAAGCTCTGGTGCACAGGAGTCTGGCACAGCAACATCCTAGGCATCTAGTTTGCCCTGAGCCGATCTCTTCTCCAGCAGCCTGGGGAGGTCCACTAGTGAAACCTGCACATAGTGTCTATGGGGGGTGGTTGCATCTAATCTATGGCGGGGTCTGTTCTGCAGGGCTCTGGCCTGGTCTCCTCTGGGGGAACTGTGCAGTGCATTCCCCACTGAAGACTGCTGGGCCACGTCGCCTCGGGAAGGAGCTGTTCCTCGCCTCTGTGTGCGGGAGATGCCTTTCCGGAACCACATGCCTGTGGCCATGTTGCCATGCTCATCGTCTCAAGCAGCTGCGTGCTGATTTTGTGCAGCTATCTGGAGGGACAAAGATAACCCTTAGACACCAGTATATCTTCTTCCCTGTTCCACAGGGAATTATAGTGCCAGAAGCAGGTGATAAGGTCTGGCTGGGGAGGTGTGCTGGGCACAGGGAGGTGAGGCTGAGCATTCCCTGTGCTCCTGTCCTGCATCCTGGTGGCGTGAAAGAGCTGCTCGTGTTGCCTCTATTCTGCAGGAGCCATGAACATCCCTGTGCCTGCTCCCAGCTCATTGTGCTGCGCAGGGGATGGGGTTTGGTCCTGGGCCCTGACCTTTTTCCACGTGTAACGGGCTGCAGCGCACCAGCACGCAATAGGGTTAACCCTGCCTCATCTCTGAACTTCTCCTGCTTCTGAGAACTTTCACAAGAGACACAGCTGGGGTTTTATATAAAAATTGAGTTTGCAAATGGCTCTGAGGGCTCGGTTTGGGCTCTGTTTGCTCTGGCAGCAGGTAACGGACTGAGGTGGCCTTGCTTTGTCCCACTAGCAATAAGTCTCGTTAGGAATCAGCCCTTTCCCTCTGAGAGTGCGTTTTGCAGTTAGCTTGGAGTAGGTGCGTGTTTTTAAGGTGAGTGGATTTGAGCTGTTTTGCAAACCCGTGAGACTTTTCTACACAGCAGGAGCAGGTGGGGTGCCTGGCTCTCGCTCCATGCTCGGAGCCGCAGCAAGTAAGCTGTTTGTCGCCAGTTTTGGGAAGGCAGGAGCGGCCTCCCCTCGCTGTCAGTCTGTCTGTCCGTCCATCCATCCATGGGAGCGCCTGTGCCGCTTCTGGCAAGGAGCCAGTTCCCGCGTGGGTGCTTGTCCCTGGAGCGTGTTGGTCCGTGCACTGTGCCTTCAAATGTACATTTTTAAAAGGGACTTGAATCGCCTTTTCCTGGAAGCGGGATGGGGCGGCGTGAGGTGAGGCCTGGCTCTGCCCTCAGCTGGGCCCTCTGTTTTTTACCTGTATACCAAGATCCAATAATCTGTATAAAACTATTTTGATGTCCAGCTGCG